AGTTACTCAAACCCAAGCCGCGGAGGAGGTGCTTGTGGCCATCGGGCAGCGACGCCTCGCCCATGGCCTTGAGCGGCGCCTCCAGGCGGAAGTGCGTCATGAGGTCAGACCGACTCAGCTGCGACGGGCCGACCCAGTCGTCGCCCCGGCGGAGGTACACGTCGTCGGGAGACCCGAGGTCGACGACCAAGCGCGTTGCTTCGGCCATGCTGCGACCGAGCAAATTCGAGACTGAGATAATAAAAAACGTGGGGAGAAAAGGAAGGTTACGATTGAGCGAAAAATGCAGTCTATTTTAACCAATCACAGCAATCTAATCGCTTAGGAAGACCAGCAATGTCGGTAAAGAGACATAGTCGACGGAACCTTGAACCTACCTCCGGTGCCTCTGTCCTGAACGACCACGACGCGGTAACAACACTACACTCAATTACTCGGCCTCCAAGACACGTACACTCCAACAACGTACCCATCGTTGTCGCGCTGTAAGGTACTTAATGCCTGGGATGATTGAGCTCAAAAGACATGAGATCAATAGACATGGGCCGTTGACGAGCTCAATGAATTCAAGAGCTATTACTCGGCATCTTTGCGGCGAGCAGGACCTTCTGTCATGCGACCATCGCTTGTGTCGCTGTTGGCTCGCTGTGGGCTTGATGATCGGGTGTCTTTTCGAGCAGTCTGCGACAGCCTGCAGGAAGGAGGCTCTTGTCGTTGAATCGCTGCATGAGGGCGTGGCACTCAGCCTCGGAGATCGGGGCGGCGCGCTCGTCCATCTCATCGAGCCGCCGCGAGATGCGCCGAATGAGGAAGCTGGTTGTTGGCATGGTGCGACTGAACTGAAGCGAAAATGACCCCGATCGGAAATCGAAGCCCAACAACTTCAACGTCATGCCGACCAATGGCATCGCTGCAAACCCATAAATTCCACCAATGGCCCAATGGCGCGACGGGCGTCGCTGGGAGCTGCGTCCCCATGTCGACAGGACAGACGACTCGACAGCCCCGACCGCGAAGTAGCCAAGGGATGCAGTAGTATCTTTGGGGTGGCCCCGAGAAGCTCGACGCCAATGGCTCAGTAGACATAGGGTGCCAAGGCCATTTGGACAGGGCTACCAAGTCATCATCATCAACCCTTGGAGCTCCAGGAGAATGGGCGGACGCTACGAACAGAACCTTTCTTTACTGAGTTTATTTGACAGACGATGTCATGAGCGATTCGACGACGGCGGCCTCCATTTCCTCGTAGACGTACGAGAAGCCATTGGTGATTGTACACAGCAGGTACGCGCCGTCGGTCGTGCGGAGCTTGACCCACGGCCCGTTGTTTGGCAGCTGATACCCGACACAGCCGCTGTCGCTGGTTGAAAAGTCAAAGACCTCGTGGATGGATGCCGTGTCAATGTGTCCGCGCAACACTGCGCAGTCGCCTTCCACGATCAGCTCCGAGACGCAGTTGCCGCGGTTGTCCGGTCGACTCGCATCGCTGTAGCTCGTGTCACACATGATGGTCTCGAAGACGCCGCCGTCGGGCGACGGCTGCTTGACAATCGTGGGCGAAATACCGTGCGGCGTGTGGCCCATGATAAGACGGCAAATGCCGTCTTGCCAGAGACGTGCAACGACGTCCTTGGGCAAAAGCCGGGGCATGCCGGACGGGTACAAGTGGCGGCCGTTGATCACGCTGTGGGTAGCAACCGGAAGCCCGTAGGCTTGGAGGCTCTGGCCGCCTCGGAACGAGTGGTCTGGCAGCCACGTCGGTTGCGCTATCCACTCGGCCAATTGGCTGTCGTACCACGCATTGAGCGCTCGAATCCACGACGTGATCGAGAGGTCGTCGCGGGGCTTGGCGGACGATGGCACATACCCGACGCAGCCGTCGCCGTCTTTGTTCATGACACCTCCGTGGACAAAGAGATTGGGGCCGTGTACGTAGCCAAGGACGCAGAGCTGTAGGTATTCGCGGAGGATACCACCCGCCTCGACCGACGAGACATACGATGCCACGACGTCCTCGTCCGAGACGGTGCCGCCTTGCGAGCTCTGGAGCTCAACGCGCCGCCGTTCAAAGTCGCCGTCCGACCCCATCGTGTGCTTGAGCATCCACTTGACTCGGTTCACCTACGCTCGGTCATGGCGTGATCGCACACGAGATTGCATGTAGTACTTTGGTGTTGACACTGGCCAGCGTCGACGCGGAGACATACGTATCGGGCGATTGCTGCAGCACTTCGCTGCACAAGAAGTCTCGGACACTGACGCGCACGTTGGTCGGAACCCACAGCGGACCGTCTACGATATCTACACGGTGATGCTCGTAAGCGTGCGAAGGCAAATTGATGTGACCTCGGCTCATTGTGGCAAGGTCCAACTCGGTCGGCGTGAGCTCCGACGTGAAGCGCATCTTGTTGACGTCGCGGTTGCCCGCAATTAGAACAACCCGCGTCGGGTACTTGGTTTTGATGTCGATGAGCAGTCGATATAGACTACAGAGGATGACCTGGCACGTGTGATGGTGGCTAGTGCAATGTACCGCAACGTGCCGAGGCCCTTGTCGCCCGCGTCGCCACCAAAGACAAAGATGTAGCCTGGCCGGAGCTCCAGATGGCCATCGCCGTCGTAGTAGACGCCTTCGGAGAGCGCCACGTATCTGTTGAAGTACTCAATGTTGCCTTCGACGTCGGTGCAGTAGCAAAGCTTCATGCCCGTCATTTCACCGCCGCAATTCAGTTGTGCTGGCTGGCATTGACATGGCTTCTTCGAGGTACCCCTATGTAGAAATCAGTGCAACCCCCCTGCCTTATAAAAACCTATATATACATTGTGGCCAGGGCCCCGCCCCCAGCCTAGAAAAACGTAGCCGGCCACCAGCTGGTACAGATATTAGTTGTCGTCTGAAACGCACCAATCCGAGTGTTCGGGTCCTCATCCTGATCTCAAGAGTGTCTCAACTTGAAGCCCAACGCGATTGCTCTTGCCTCGTCTCCTTCATGCAGCGACGCGCTCGTAATCATATTCCAAAGCGAGACTCGCCAGATGTGGACTTGACGTAGACCTGACGAAGCCGATCGCATGACAGAGCGTCCAGGACCGGACGCGCAACGTGTCCAGTGGACGCTGTCGCCCGTCAAGAGACACGAGCTGGGGCGTTGCTAGCAGCGCCCCATTTCGCTCGTTCGGGTGGTATGTTATGACAGATACCAGTGTCGATGCTCTGTGCAGCACAATTGGAGCACTGGTCAACGGTTGACGTCTTGCCGCTCTTATTGCGATAGAGTTGAGATTATAGCTACGCAATGAGACGATTTGAGGAAATGTTAGTCCGTTTGGGTCTAACGACGGTTGCGACGGTTCGTAAAGACATCCAACGAGGACAGAGCCTCGGACGGCTACTTTGGACTGTGTTTCCTGTCGGATGAATTCGCGCCACCTCGGTAAACTCAGCTCACACATCTACGCCCATTTGAACTTTATTAGTTGTTTGGTTGGGAAATGTCTACTACACGGTCTCTCTACTCGATGATCTGGTATCGCGCTTGGCGAAGCTTTGTGGCCGTGAGCATGCTTACGACCATACCGATGCAGCCAACGCCGAGGAAGGCGAGCCCGAGCTGCGCCGGAGAGTACAACGACACGGACGGCGGGGTCTCCACCGCCATGAGGTTGGTCTCTGCTTTCCGGAGGCCGTCCTTCTTGACTGGCGGCACAATGTCATCGGGGTGGGCGTGTGGTGCGCCGTCGTGTGCGCGGGCTTTTCGTGGGATGTGAGCTGCGTCGCGTTCGTTTCCGTGATCGCCGACGTGTCGGTGACCGGGTGTTGCTTGGCGCGCGCGTCGTTGAAGGGCACGAGGCCGTAGATCGAGCCGCCGTACGCGGGCTTCTTGGACCAAATGAGCTCTTCGTCGCTGACGTCGGGCACCATGTAGTGGCAGTCGGACTCGATCGCGAGGTTGTTGCTGCCGCGGACGATCTTGAAGAAGCCGTTCTCGCCCCAGTAGGTGCCCCACGAGTTGCGCACGTTCTAAAACTTGACGCCGTGCTCTTCGCCGTAGCCGACAATCTCGACGTCGTGATCGATGTCCATAAAGCCCGTCGTATCGTTGAAGATGCCGGCCGAGTACTCGTACTTGAACCCGGGACTCACGGCGATACCGCACGTGATCGGGCCCTTCTGGAGCTCCTTGATCATCGCCACCTCGCCTTCCAGTCGCCCGTACTCCTTGGCCGCGGTACCGAACCATCTTGGTGACGGGAAA